GTGCCTCGGATGCCGCTTCGGATGGTGCTTCGGACGCCGCGTCGGATGGTGCCTCGGGCGCCGCCTCGGGCGAGTCGGAGCCGGCCGTCCCCAGTGCCTCGGGCGCGCACTCCGACCACTCGGGCGCGCCCAGCGCCGGCGCTTCGGATGCCGCCTCTGAGGGTGCTTCGGATGAGGAGTCGGGCCTGGACTCGGATGAGTCGGGCTCGGACGAGGAGTCGGACAAGGACTCGGACGACTCGGAAACCTCGGGCAGCCCGGCCCAGAAGGTGTTCGCGCCGGTCGCTGCTGTGGCCGCCGTCGCCTTTGCCGCGCTTTTCTAAAGACATTTGCTTTTTTTCTTTCGCACTTTTTTCCCACCCTATTTCCTGACCAAAACACAAATCTATTTTGAAGCAAATGAATACTGGGGCAGCTGCGCGCGACGCTCTTCCTAAATAGATTAGCAGCCATATATGCAAGTCAGTAGCGGTTGTATATGCGTGCCAAGAGAGACTGTCGACATCAAATGGGGGCGGTTTATAAATAGATGTTGTACTTACCACCGAAGTTTGTGTGTCGCTGTAGACCAGGCGCGTGACCCGCGGCTTCTTCTTTGTGGCATCTACAGCAGCAGGGGCATCGTTAGGTTCACTAGGCTTACCGCTGGAAGCTGGGGGAATCGGCGGCCGCGGCGGCGGGATGTGCGGCGCCGGAATGTGCGGCGCCGGCGGCACGGGCGGGCGCACGGGCGGATGCGCAAACGGCGCGAATCCCGCTGGCGGCGGCCGTCCATAGTCCATTGGCGGAGGGCGTGCATAGTCCATCGGCGGCGGCCGTCCGTAGTCCATCGGCGGCGGGCGGGCAAAGCCCATGTGCGGGGGCTGTCCAAAGCCCATTGGCAGCGGCGGACGGGCGGCAAACGGCATAAAGCCGGGAGCCGCGGTCTGCATGGCCATGCGGTGCTGCTCCAGCTGCCAGCGGAGCTGATCCGCATCAACCTGCGGCTGGGCAGACGGGCCGGGGGCCTCGCTGCGCGCGCGCTTGACGACGGGCTCGCCGAGCTTCTCGTGCTTGCGGTGCTCGTAGTCCGCAACGTCGTCCTCGGGGATGCCCGTGCTGCCAAAGATCTCGATGTCGGGCGTGTCGCGGCCGGGCAGGGCGTTGGGCACATGGCGGACATTCTCCTTGTGCACCTGCGCAACATGAATCACCATGCCGCTGGCAGTGTTCAGGCGCTTGGAGCAAATGTTGCATTTGAAGTGGCGGGCCTTTTGGTGCTGCACCAGCACCTTTTCGTTCTCAAACTCGCGCTCGCAGTACCAGCACCACGGCCTGAGCGACGGCTTTTTGTTCTTCTTGCGGACCATGCCGTATCTAGTAGTGGGAAAAAAAGAAAAAAATTAGCGAGTGGTGGGGAAGAAGAAACGAAAACAAACCTTTCTTCTTTCCGTCATCTGAATCTGACAATTCGGAACTTTGATATTTGGTAAAATGGACCAGGCGCTGCCAGTGGTAATCGCAGTAGTTGTCGGCGGTGTGGTGCTGTACGCGGTGCTTCGGCGCGCGTCGACGCTGCGGGCAATTCCGTTCGAGCTGAAGCCGCCGGCCGAGAGCCAGCCGGGCTGGCAGGGCGAGGAGCTTGCGCAGCCCGGGATCCATGTGGCCGGACACCCGGAGCTGATCCAGTGCTTCGATCCGGCCACCGGGCGCGCGCTGGGGCAGGTGCGCGCAACCACGGCTGCCGAGCTCGAGGCGCGCATGCAGCGCGCGCGGCAGGCGCAGACGCGCTGGGCGCAGACGTCGTTCGAGCAGCGGCGGCAGGTGCTGCGCACGCTGCACGCGTTCGTGCTGGCGCACCAGCGCGAGATCTGCCAGGTGGCGAGCCGCGACTCGGGCAAGACGCTGGTGGACGCGACGCTGGGCGAGGTGCTGACGACGGCGGCGCGGCTGCAGTGGACGATCCAGAACGGCGAGGCGGTTCTGCGCGACGACGCGCGCGCGCCCGGGTTCATGATGGCGTACAAGCGCGCAAAGGTCGTGTACCAGCCGCGCGGGCTCGTGGCGGCGCTGGTGTCGTGGAACTATCCGTTCCACAATGCCGTGGGCCCGGCGGTCTCGGCGCTGTTTGCCGGCAACGCCGTGGTGGTCAAGGCCAGCGAGCACGTGGCCTGGAGCATGCCGTACTGGGAGCAGATGGTGCGCCGCGCGCTCAACGTGTGCGGCCACGACCCCGAGCTGGTGCAGTTTGTCGCCGGCTTTGCCGACCTGGGCCGCGCCGTCACCACGTCGCCGCTGGTCGACCACATCACCTTCATTGGCTCGCCCGAGGTCGGCCGCCTGGTTATGCGTGCCGCCAGCGAGCATCTGACCCCCGTAACCCTGGAGCTGGGCGGCAAGGACTGCGCCCTTGTCTTTGCCGACGCCGACATGCGCCAGTGCGTGCCCGTGCTGATGCGCGCCGTCGTCCAGAACGCGTCGCAGAACTGCATCGGCATCGAGCGCATTCTGGTGCAGCAGCCCGCCTACGACGCCTTTGTCGCCGAGATGACGCGTCGTATGCGCGCTGTGCGCGTCGGCGCCATCCTCGACGACGCCCCCGGCTCCGTCGACTGCGGCGCCATGGTGCTGGGCGCCGACTTTGACCGTCTCGAGGCCCTGGTTGCCGACGCCGTCGCCAAGGGCGCACGCTGCCTGGTCGGCGGCTCCCGCTACGCACACCCGCGCCACCCGCGCGGCCAGTACTTTAGTCCCACCCTGCTGGTTGACGTTACTCCCGACATGGACATCACCCGCTCCGAGACCTTTGGCCCCATCATGGTCGTTATGAAGTTTGCCGACGAGGCCGATGCCCTGGCCCTGGCCCACGCGTCGCCCTACGCTCTGGGCTCCAGCGTCTTCTCCGCCGACCGCGCCCGCGCCCGCCGCGTCGCCCTGGCCCTGCGCGCCGGCATGACCAACGTCAACGATTTCGGCGTCAACTACATCTGCCAGGCCCTGCCCTTTGGCGGCGTCGGCATCAGCGGCTTTGGCCGCTTTGCTGGCCCCGAAGGCTTGCGCGCCCTGTGCGTCGAGAAGGCGTTCACCGAAGACCGCTTCCCCTTCGTCAAGACCCCCATTCCGCCCATCGTCGACTACCCGATCCAGGACTCGGAGAAGGGCTACGCCTTCACCCAGCAGATTGTCGCCTTCGCCTACAGCGACTCGTGGTGGGACTCTATCAAGGCAGCGCTCAGACTGGCCAAGATTTCCCTCTGAATAAAAAAGTTAAACGTGCCCATTGCGTGGGCAAAAAAATGCTCTGCTAGAAGTGGGATTTGAACCCACGCCTCTCTCGAGACCCGAACTTGAGTCGGGCGCCTTAGACCACTCGGCCATCCTAGCACGCAAAGCAGCGAAGAGCAAACCTATGCAATTCGGGATACCATTTTACATATCTAAACCTGTGGCAGGCCAAGCTGGCAACGAGCGCCGAAAAAAATCCGTATTACGGCATTATGCAAGCGG